TGGCTGACACACCAGGTAAACCCATCGCCGGACCTCGGTCTGGCGGCGGGACCCGACGGAGCGCACGGAGGCACCGATGAGTCAGTTTTAAACTACTTCTATGTAAACACTCTTTTCTTTCCTACCTTAAGAAAAGTTTTTATTAAAAGCGACATGATTTATTGCGAAGGACGATTTTTCCTGCAAGCACAAGATCAAACCTCGCGTATCTCCAGCGCTGGGTTAATCATTTCCCTTCGTTACCAGGATATAAACAGCTGCGAGATCCAGAAGAAAAACTGCACGTGGCTCATGGTAACACACGAAACGTGCCTCAAAGATGATGTGGTAAGAGGACAACGCGATACTACTTTATATTGACTTGATGCTGTGTTCCTAATGTCATGGAAAACATATCATGGAAAACATAAAGACTTTATTATTATTATTGCTGTTACTGACATGAATTGACACACTAATTTCAAAATAAACTTTTCTCTATCGGTTCTTCTTAAGACCCGTTTTGCAGAGAATGCTTTTAAGCTTAATGCCTAATTCCCTGCATAGTTTTAAATGCAGTTTATATTAAAGTTGAATAATTTCTTACTGTGGCGCCATGTAATCTCCACATCACAGTAGGTCAAGACGCCAGTAATTTTTATTGCTTCTGCAGCAGAAGACTGCCTTTCAAAAAACAATTTCTGAAAATCTAAGATGCAGTGATTTTTTTTTCAAAGCCCTTTCCTTATTCAGAATAAGCAGAAATAATGTTTTTCTAAGCAAGTGTTTTTCCTTTCCTGAAAGATTACTGTCAGTATAACTAGGTATTTTTAATTTCTGCAGCTTTTTATCTACCCTCTTTTCCCTTCTTGTTGGATTGCCAGCAAGGTATCAACTGGAGACTAAATTTGATTTAAAAGCCTTCCTATCCAAAAGTAAAATACAATTAATTAATTAATTTCCATCAGGAAATTTCAGACTGAGCAAGACACAGTAGGTTGTTGCTGATTCTTATGAGAGGAAATACTTTTATTTTTCCTGTTCTCTTTAAGAGGTAGATTGGATTTTTTTTTTTAATTGCATGAATTGCAAGTGTAAGAAAAATGTATTTGATTAATTTTTAAACTACTATAATGTATGATAAAGCTTTGCTAGTGCAGTATTTAGGAAATGAGAAGGGAAGTCAGGATCTTGTATGCTGTGTTTTTCGGCTGTCAAATCATTTGACCTCAATGTGTGCATTAACCTCAACAATATGAACATTGGATATTTGTTTTGTAATTTATTTTTATCCTTTTATCTTCCCAATGCTTGGAGAAAAAGCATCACGCATTATAAAGTGCCTCTTTGCAAGGTAATTGATATGGCACAAATATAACCTCAGAATTACACAGTAAATGTCGAACTGGAACAGTGACTTCTTTCCTTGATGCACTATTGCTGTGAACCTCGACCACCTTCAGCTTTGGATCTGAGGATGGATGTAGAGCAGAACTCAGCCAGCCACTGTTTAATACTTAAGATGTGCACGTGCAGAGCGTTCGCTGCTGCCAGGCCCTGGGCACGCGTGGTTCTGTCCGCGTGTCTGCAGGGACAGAGCAGAGCTGTGAGGTACACCGTCAGCCACGGGCTTGGCGTGCTGCCGGCAGCCCAGTCCCTGCCTGCCTCGCATGCCGGTCCAGCGTCTCGCCAGCGAGGTGTCACCTCGTCCCCTGCTCGCCAGCAGGTTTTGCCCAGTGCAGTAGCTGCACGCCCCTGCTCAGACTGTACCTTACAGCCGAGCTGGGAGCGTGATGGCAGTGCTGCAGGGACAGCCTTCGCTGCAGGGCCAACACGCTCTTTACAGAGCACGGGCTGTGTTCTGCGTTCCTGTAAACCTGCTGCTGTGGTCAGTCATTAAACACAGTCGGTTATTTCTGCTTCACATCACTTGAGCAATTGCTCCTGTGCTTGGAATAGAGTGGTTTTCATTTGTGCGAGCTTTTTTCCATCTCACCGACGGGGACTTTCTGTCATTTCATGACAGCTACTGGACTTAGACTCTTCAGAGATGAAGGATCTAATCCTCTTCCCATTGGGTGTTTTCCCATCAGCTTCACTGGGAGCAAATTGGGGCCTCAAGCTTCAGAGACTTAACAGAAAATTACTTTCAGTATTTCCCTATCACATGGATGATTTAGACCCAATAAGATCATAATAAACCTTTACTGAAAATACTTTTTTCCATTAATAAGCTTTTTGAGGGAACAAGCAATTGTAAGACATCTTTGGGGCAGTGCCAAGATGCATAGGTGATTTCAGTCAGTATGACTTTCTTAACTAGTGTATTCTCACTGAAAAGCTGCCTCCAGAGTATCTGCTAAATTACTTTGCCTTTTCAGAGAAACAGAAACCCCTGAAAACACCCTCACCAGTGTCACACACGCTGATCACGGCTAGTAAGGTGTTCTCTCTTACACGTTGGCTGACTTGGCTTCCAGCCACAGCGGGTGCCCATCGTTTTGCTGAAGCGGGACGCCGTGTTGCTCAGATGAGAACAGAGTTCTCACACCTGGGAAAGCGTCTGAAAAGGGATCACGCGTGTCCCTGGCAGGTCCCAGCCCGCATTACACACCGTGACTGCTGCCTGCACTCATGTTCCCGCTGCAGCCGTGGCACTGCGGGAGCTCCGGAGCGGACGCAGCCTCTTGTGCTGCGCTGCGGAGAGAAACCACCGCAACTGCAGAGCCCAGCCTTGCCTGAGGATTCACCCTGCTCACTGTCTGACCGAGCTGGCGAGCTCTTGGGCAGGGGGAATTCGCCTCAGCCGAGCACTCAGTCAACACAGCTCCTTTCCAGGCCCAAGGAAATGCTAAATAAGTTAGCTAAGGTATTTCTGAACAACACTGCATCATGCAATGCTGACAGTTTCTGCTTCTCATCAGCTTCAGCACAGCCGTGCTTACTTGGGCATTTTTTAAAATCTGGTGCACAAATTACAAACTTGGCCATTCAGAAAAACCTGCTTTCGACTGACAATAAGAACGTTTACAGAGGAGGTGCTGCATAAATACATTCAAATACTTCTCAGTGTTTAAAGGAGAGAGTTACTTCATCAGTTTTCTTTTATGCCATCATGTCTTTAAAAAGCACATGAATTTGATTATTTCCTGAAGATTTGATTGAAGATTTTCATTTTACAAGAAAGATGAGAAGGGCTAGACAAAGCAACAAAGTATGGGAAAACAGCTGAATTTTCTCAGGTTAACATAGCAATTCTTTTAGTGCTGTGAATTAAGCAAATGAAGGCAAACAAGAAGGGGGGGCAAATAATGCTTATTAAATAGTCATACAATGAAACAAGTAATGTAACTGCCTCTAAGCAACCTTTCTCAATGGAAGAAAGTAATACTGGCCCTGAAGGTTTCTCTGCGTAAAGACAGCACAGAAAAGTAGAGAAATTGTAACAGTAAGTGGGTGCAGAACGTCACACAGCTTTCTCCACACTCACAAATCCAGGAAAAACTGTCACTAGCATCTCAGTCTTCTAGCAGAACTGAGGGGTCTGAAGATAATTATTGAATTTTATAATTAGAAAGTTACTGGGTTTTTTTCTTATCTTCTAGGTTTATGCCTCTTAATTTCAACCTCTGAATTTTTTATAACTTAGACAGTAGGCTCTGCATTATTAAACCAGGATTAAAATGTAGTCAAGTATGTTAGGCCGTGAAATTAATCTGATGTACTCAAGAAAGTTTTCTGACATTGAGAAATGTACATTTAGTTCAGAAACTAAATGTCTTTGATTTTAAAATACAGTTAAAAAAAAAAAGCCATTAAAAACCTGCTCAGGTTTCATCTGATTGCAGTAAACGGTTCTCTTCCCATGCTGTACTGACTGTATTGATTTGTTTGAGTGTACAAAGAAATAAACAGGGAAGCACACTATTTCAAGTTTTTAAAGTCTATCTTGAGATGAATTTCTGTCAGTTTAGCAAACAGAATCATGGAAATCCTTGGAATTTCTATGTATTATGAGCAATGGAAAATCAAAAGCAGCTGAACAAACCTGATTGCTTGGAACTCATTTGCTGTATTTTTAATGCTTGTTTTTAATGCACCAACTAGCTATTATTATCTCTTTTTTTTTTTTGAAGTAACAGTACACATTTGCAGTATTAACGTAAATATTTTGGTGAATTTTCCAGATGACAGCACTCAAGAAAGCCACTGGTGACGTTGTGCTCAAGTTTGAACCATTTGTTCTTCACGTGCTCTGTCAAGAGCTGCAGGATGCACAGCTTCTGGTAAAATTACATCATTTAACAGTGTGACACTGTCATTCTGTTATGTTCCTTGCTGTAAAAGTATTGGCCCCTGAGTAAGCTTTAGCACTTAAGAATAGTCCCAGATGTGCTGTATGTTTAATAACTAGGGCAGTAAAAGTAAGCTGATGAAGAAAACACAGCTTTAAAATTAGTAGAGATCTTGCTTTACTTTTTAGAAAAAAAAAAAATAATTACTCCACTACAATTCAGTCTTCGAGCTGAAGCAGGTTGCCTGGTAAAAAGTCTCCCAGTGAGCCTGGGCTGCTTTCGCTGGCTGAAAGTGATGGTTTTTTAGACATCATTCTGCCACCAGCCAGGCCATTTGGCTCCAGTGTTTCAACTAATTGAGTGGTACCTCTGCCTTCTGCTTTTCCAGAATTACTTCAGAGAGTACTGCATGATGTGTTTGTTCCTTCATTAATGTAGAAGGTCGACTGGCTTCTTTTATAGTACTGCTGCACTTGGAGCTATAAAAATGTTGCACAGCTGTCTATGTGGTTACCAGCTCTTCAGGATAAAATAGTTCAGTGCCCAGAGAGACGTCAACGTCCTGTCTGCACTAACAGATTAAGATCAGACAATCAAGATTGACTGTGATTGAAAACCAACCACAGTTTCTGATACTGCGTGGATTTGACCTTAGAAACATTTTTATGTAACTATTATTGATTAATTCAGGGAGATGGTTTTGAATAAATTTTTTGCAAAACTGAGATTACAAGTTGCATTGCAACCCATCCATCATTATTTCTTTATGTGAAAGTGTCTAGGACCTGTTTAAGGCATTTATTTGTTCTGCAGCATTCAGTGGCTATCGATTCTGGGTTCAGGAACTCTGGTATTACGGTTGGCAGAGGAGGAAAAATTATGATGGTAAGGACTTTTCTACTTACCTGTAAGGAATATAAGAAAATCATACCATTATTCTTAACTTGGCTTTTTTTTTACGAGCAAGATCTGAATTGTAATGTGACCAACAGCTATCACAGGGCATGCTGCAGCAAAGAAATATCTTTCTGCTTTAGCTGACAGCAAACTAACCAATGCTGTGGATAAGTGTTTTTTTCCTGTAATGAATTCCCCATATTATTTAAAAATCTTCATAAAATAAAAAACCTTATTCTAGCTAAATCCTCTGCTTGTGTTTTTAGGCTGTCCGGAGCACTCATTGCTTAGAGGTTCCATTGTGTGCAAAGGGAAAACTGATGGTCTCTGAAGAATATATTGAATTTCTGATACACGTGGCTAATCGGAAAATGGAAGAAAACATGAGGAGGATTGACAGGTTTGTTAGATTACACCAGTACTATCCGTGATATCTATATACAACTGTGAAAAATGCATAGGAGAGGTTATGTAAAAAACAAACAATCAAACAAAGAAAACTAGACAATACCCCAAAGTCTAAAGTACAATTTCAGTTAAATTTTGAGCTCTGAAGACTATAAACTATTTAAGCAAAAACCTATAAACAACATGAGTTTGCAGACTTTGTTACTGAGTAAGTTTCTTTTTCTAAGGATAAAAGCATTTGTTAGTCTAACACAGTAACCACTTCAGAAGCATTCAGATCACAAGGCACACTTTAATCCACTAAACGCTTTGCAGAGTTTCCAAAACTGATGATTTTTGAGACAGTGCGAGGTTACGTACACTTTGGGTCTTTACATTTGTCAGAGAGCATGAGGATCAAAAGGACACGGGAGAGACACCTGCACGTGCCAAGACCAGTTTCTTTCTATAGGTCCACTGACAATCTCTGTAGCTGTTAAAAGTAAAAGTAATTGCTAATATATAAAAGTAAAAGTAATGCTAAAAGTAAAAGTAATAGCGGTCCATCAGATCATTAATGCTGTCACCCCTCAGACATTTAACCTGATACCCTTTTATGGTTTCTGCAAGATTAACAGGGTCTGAATGGCACATGAGTACCTCTGCTGTTTGATTTATAACGTATGAGCACTGCAGAGAGAAGTGGCATGGCATACACAGGGATGTGTGCTGATATTTCTAACTTTTCTTCCAGTATCGGCTAGACCATTACAACGTTAGTAACGATTTTCTTCTCTTAACACGCTTTGATTGTAATTACATTGGTTTCTGAGCAAACCTACAAAACCAATAACAGCACACTTGTTTCTTTCTAGATTCTACAAACACTTAGAGTTAGCTTTGAAAACTGCCGCCAGTGCAAACAACTCGCCTTCGGAGGAGACGGAGAAGAACTGCTCCGTGTATGTTCGCAGAAGAAAGAGAAAGACCATTCGAGAACAAGGTGTAGACACCTCTCCAAAGGAGCACAGTGAAGAACTGGGGCCTGAGGATGATGCAGAAAGCAATCTTGATATTTTTGCTGAAATCACCATATAGACTATAAGGCATTTGCAAGCAAATGTCAAACTGAGTAACAGTTGTAATGCTCTTTGTAAGAGATATAAATACTGCTCTGTTCTAAGTAGTAACACTCTCATGGACATTTACCAGAAAAGAAAAAAAGGTAATTAAACAGAATTATGAACAGGTTTAATGCCACAGAAGCAGAGAGAACAAAACCTTAGAATGTTTTGGGGTTTTTTTTAACAGCACTGTTGAATTAACAATCTTTTACTCTGTCAGTTACCACAGAAATAACTGGTTTTCTACAGCCTTTGTCCATCTTCTCTATGGAAGCATTTCACTTCCAAATGCTGGGTTTAAGCCTTCTGATTTTTGCAGAGCAGAGAAACTTTTAAAAATGGGGTTGTTACCCTTGAAGGTTTTTAATCCCTGTTGGAACTCCACAAAACGGTGTGCAGCAATATAGGTGGCCCTTTCCAAACAGCACAAAGCCATGTGTTAGTCAGCTGAAGAACAGTGTCTGGGATGGAGGTTAGAACAGAAAGGTCAAAGTTGGGTACTGCTCTACCCTGGCTCCAGCCCCACTGTATTCATGCGTTCTGCTTCCCTTGGCCAGCAACCATTAAGTGTTATTTTTCTTTGCAACTTTTAGCCAACTCTGTATGCCAGTAGTTTGTTAGCTGACTTACGTATCATTCTGCGTGGCCAGCACTCACCTTCAGTTCCAGCTGTTGGGCAGGAAGTCAACCAAGGTCTAACGGGCTTTCTTACCAGGCTACAAACCACTGACATGCAGTAAATATTAAACAGTGCAATCATTTGTGCATTCCTGGGTGGTACCACTGGAAAAGTCACTCCGTACTCATAGTGTGGTGTTCAGAAAAATGGTGAAATTGTAAACGTTAGCAACAACGGCTCCTGAGCCCTTCTTTTTATGGCCAAGTGATCACTACCAGTGCAAAACAAGACCCTGACTGAGGGAAAGTACAGCAGCTCCCAGTTCGTATAGGCAGAGAGTTCTCATTGTTTCCATTACATAAGCCTGAGTCTTGGGGACATTTTAATTCCACTGTAAAAATCTGACATACTAGGTGGCAGCTAAAGGAAAAAGTAATTGGGGGCTTTAAACAGATTCTGAAAGACCTGTTAGGCTGCGTTTTCAGTAGCAGGCATGCCAAAAAAAATAAACTTGAGCCTTTTGTGTTGCTTGTTTGTGTTACTAACTTCCAGCTTGAAGAGTCTGGTGTGCTTGCTTTCATCCTATTTCTGGTGGTCTGAAAGACCTCAGCACCTGGCTGGGGCACAGGAAGGTGAGAGGCCAACACATTTCCATCGTTGCAAGGAGACTGCAGTCATGTCAAATGAAATGCTGGGTGGTTGATGCTGTCCTTAGCTGTTGGCTGCAAGCACAGGTTGAGCAAACAGCGGAAAGAGCAGTCTCTACAATTTTCCTCCTTTGTGCAGGGGGCAAGGCAGTGGTGACAAATTTTGAAGATAAAGAACATCAGCTTGTGAGACAACCAAGTACGTACAATGCTGAAATACCACAAGAAACCTTCAAAAGTAATACACTGCATACGTTGTTCTCCAGCCTCGTGTAATTTAGTGGGCTCATCCTTGTTTAACTGGACCTGGGGGGGAGGATCATTGAAGAGCTGCTTGTTGGGACGTGCAGCAAGCGTGGATCAGCTGGTAGGATCAGAGTACCACTGGACACAGTGGGATCACCACACTGGGGATGGGGGTGAGCAAACCTGGAGTCCCACAGCCTGTGCGACTGCAAGGGCACGGGTGGGAGCAGCTGAGGGTCCCTGTCGCGGGGCAAAGTGACAGCAGCTCCTTGGGGTGTAGGGACATGGCTTCTGCTGTGCAGGTTATGGGAGTCATGCCAGGCACGGGGCTCACTTCAGGCCTTTGTAATCGCAACTTCTCACAGACCTTCACGTCCATCCACCCTGAGGCACAACTGCGTTTCTTTGAAGTGAGGTGAAGTGAAGCCCCAAAGCTTCCACCAACACACAGCAACATCTGCTTCAGTGCAGGGGGCAGGTGGATCTCGCAGGCCAGCTACCCCGGCAAAGCCTAGCAGCTGGCTGCCCCTGTCCCCGTCCCTTCTGGTGGGGCTCCTGCGGGTCCCTCCTCACCGCCCAGGGTCTCCTGCCTGCAGAAGAGGCTGTTGTGGCTTTCAAAAGTGGGGGGTGGATTTCAAAGAGTTTAGTCACAACCGGCTGAACCATCTTTGGGTTTAAAGCACTCCTGCAAGGTCTGGCTCTGGTCTGTCAGGAACTATAGATGCTGTCATGCACCACGAGCGATGTCCACGTGCTGCAGTGCTGTGATCCTGCACCACACGTGGGATGATCAAATACAGCACTGAAAAGAGCAGAGGCGCAAGGAAACTGCATCAGACTTCAACTGCAGCCCAAAGAGTCTGTATTTTGGAGACAGAGGGGGCCTGTTTCAGAGTTTAGAGGAGGTTAACTTCCAACTACGTCTGGTGTGAACACGTCTGTGTAAGGTGGAAGAGGGATCACAGATACCGATCTGGTGTATAAACCAGGACTGTGGCACGCTTCCAAGGGCAGAGCTGTGGGGCTGTATGTTGGGAGGAAAGGGTATTCGATGCAACTACTTAGTTTTTGGAAAGCTTCTTTTTGCTTTTCTTTTTTTTTTTTTTTTAAAGTTCAATCCCAACATTACAATAATGGCCCAAATTCTGCAGTATGTAACAGCATATACAGGATTTACAGTCTTCGAAATACAGTTTGTCAGAAACTGATGTGTGATGTGATCCCACATTCCTCTTAAAACTGATACCAAACTCAGGAAGACTTTTTGACAGTCTTAACCTAGAAAAGTTACCCTAACTATTGCTATCTTGCTACTTTATACCTGTTAACTCAAATTCTTGAAGACTGTTAGGAAAGTCATCCAAAAAAAAAAAAAAAAACCCCAAGACTCTACAACACAAAAAACAAACAGTCACCTGATTCTCAGTGAAAGATTAGGGAATCATGTTACTTCACTGCTTAAGATAGTGAACAGTTTTCACAAGGTTTTTCAGAGTTTTTTTACCCTCCCCCTCCCAAGGTTTCAGGGTGATGTCTCACGGGTGCAGAGGACCAGCACTGCCCTGCTCCACACACCATGGCCCTCATTTCCCTATACACCGGGGATAACCACGCTTTTCCCCACTCCGACCCAAGTTTCACAAGTTCCTTTTGAGATGACTTTTGTTAAGCTGTGGGTTTTTTCCAGCTCCTGTAACTAGTTCTGTTAAATGCAATATTCAGCCATGGACCAGAGGCGTCCCAGCCGGCGGAAAGGCGACAGGAGGCAGCAGCCTTCGGAACGGCAATTCTGTGATTCACAGCACAAGAAAAAATTACTGATAAGCAACAAGATTCCCAAAATTGGCAAATCTTTACCACTGTAAGTGTGCTTAGCCACTTAATTGACAAAAGGGTATTTTAAGCCAAATTTTCATATCTGCTTTTGCTATACTAAAATATTGGAACATTTAAAATTATAATTTCATTCACTTTGCATCCAGTTGTTTCTGGGGAGGCAGATGTATTCATTCACTCTAGCAACTGATCATCTTTTCTCACTCATAACATTTAGCATCCAGACCAGAAAATCACTTAATGTCATCGTTCCTCAAATTAGAGCCAAGGTATTAGCCAGTTGTGCTCACAAACGGCATCCAGCAGGCACTTCAGAACGAAAGTCACTTGACTGATTCACCAAGATAATTCTTTACATGCAAATCACAGATGTCACAAGCACAAGTATTTGCCTGAAACAGCTTCTTCCTCTGAAACTTAAGTACTTAAATCAGTTTACAAGAACATAACAGTAACAGCATCAGATTGCAGTGGAAATCATTGTTTCCGATGGAGCTCAAACTCTCAGGATAGGATGGCTTATCAGTCCCCAGTCACCTCTCCTGTCAACGCTCTACTTGAATTTGCCAGTCTGTGCATTTCACAGCAACATGCAATTGTCTAAAAGTTAGTCTCATTTTTTTAAGAATAACTTTGTACTATTAAATATACCATACACTGGAGTTTTAGAAAGTCTTTGGCACTTTTGGCTACTGAAAATACACAATTACTTTGCAATATCTTCTCAATTTGATTTTACATAATGTGATATTAAGGAAAATGTTTAACTTCTAATCTGCCAACAGTTGAAAATAACACCACTGCAGCACGATGTCCATTTTTTAAAAGAACCATTGAGAGGAAATTTGAGTCTTTAAAGACATAGATAATCGTGTGCCTAGATTTTCCTAGCTGCCCGCTTAATTTCTTTACACGAAAAGAAAGTAAAACCGGTAAGAATTACTGTCTTAAACCTGCCAGCTCCGGTGTGACTGCAGCAGACAACTCTCCAGACATCAAGATCAGAGCACCTTCAACTCTTTTAAAAACGCAAAGCCATATTCAAATTCCATATAGAAATTACACATAAGCTTTTATTCTGCTTTCTGGATGCAATATCTTTATGATAACTGACCAGATACGATACTTCGGTCAATTCTATACTGGCGGGGGCGGAATTAAAAAATCTTATTTTGTTTTAATTTTCTGCATGACTCCATGAAAAGAGAAATATTTTTCTCAAAAACGACTGAACTTTTATCAAAAAGAACATAATTCCTGTCCCCGATTAACACTGTAATCAAGTTTTACAGGTGTTTTAATTAGCTTTTTTGAAGAAGAATCCTGAAAGCTAACAAATTGACTGTTTAATTGTTAATCGCCCCCCCCCCCCCCCCTGCCGGCCCCAGCAGCCGGTCCCAGGGACACGCAGCTCTCGGTTATTTTTCCGTCCCGCAGCACTGTCACCCCGCACCGGCACCGGTAGGTGACACCGAGAGCGGGAAGGGGCAGCCTGACCCCCCGCACCGGGGATCCCAAC